CCCCAAAACCCCAAAACCCCAAAACCCCAAAACCCCAAAACCCCTAATAATTTGTAAAATATTGAATAAATTCCAAATGGATCTTCCCCCAAATATAAACGAAAGACAGAACAAAGAAGCTCAAGAGGACAGAGTGGACTACGATCAAGTTGACGAAGAGGTTGTTCATGATGTTGTGAACCAAAGACGTAACAAAAGGAAAGCAAAGACAGACCAAATTCGGAATGTAGCAGATGACCAGGACGAAGACGACGCTGATTTCAGAATGAACCTGGACAAAGCAGATCAAAAGTTTAGAGTCAAACGTAAATAAAAAGTATCTCTACACAGAAGACGGCATTAAAATTGAACCATTCAAGATGGACTCCTCTATGGTCCAAAACAACGGAGGAATCATCCTGATGAGAGAAGAAAAGAAGGACAGCGATGAAGACGACCCCTGGCTTGAGTCTATAAAGGAACAACAGGAAGAAATGCTCAAAGCTCAAGCTAGACGCCAAGTCGACTCTGATGAAGAATATGAATCTAGCGATAATGATAAAGGCGGCTCAGATAAAGATGAAGAGGACAATGAGTTCCAGACACCTCAAAGGATCGATATCAGAGAAATAGTTTCTTTAAAATAAACAATTAATCGAATATTTAGAACCAAAAGAAAATGTTAAAGCTGCTTTAAAGAGACTAGGGTCTAAGTCAGATGGCAACCAGTTCCAAAGAATTCAAACAAAATAAGAAGAATGTAAGAAAAAGAAAGAAGGTTAATGAGGAAGAAGAAGTTGCTGTCACAGAAGAAACTGATAATTCTGAGAATCAAAAGAAATTTCATCATATAATGAAGATAGCACAAAGACTTTTGACTCTCAAATACTCAGATGTGTATGTAGATGACAAAGAATCAATTCAGTTCGATATAAAGCAATCTGAATTGAAAATAAAAAGAGTCCTTGAACAAAAAGACCTCCAAATAAGCGGCTGGTTTTACCAGCTTAGCACCCCAGATTCCTCCTCTGAAGCCAAAACCTTCGGTCCCTTCAAGCCTGCCCAGATGGAAGCTTGGAGGAACCAGGGCTACTTCAAGGAGACTTCTGATAAGATCTGATCCTTCAAGCTGGGAAAAGACCTGAAGGATGATAAAATTGAATGGAAATTTATTAGTGAAATCACTAAATTTTAGAAGAAGATTTTTAATCGGTTCAATAGGATTTTGGCTGGAGGGGTTTTGGGGTTTTGGGGTTTTGGGGTTTTGGGG